GCTATTTTACTTTTAAAAGACAACTGAAGGCGGCCCTGTTTAGGGAAGTTTTTAATGTCTGATGCTGTATTGTTTTTAATATTTGGTTGGAAGCCACCCAGAGTGGCTGGGGAAACCCAGCCAGATGGGCGGGGTATAAATAATAAATTCTTCTTCTTCTTCTTCTTCTTCTTCTTCTTCTTCTTCTTCTTCTTCTTCTTCTTCTTCTTCTTCTTCTTCTTCTTCTTGGTTCTTGGGTGTCAGTTGACTATGTGCCTAAAGTCAGGTAGTGAGATTTGTATATTGCAACTAAGAGGGAAACCTTTGGGACCACCATTCAGCCTGCATGTTAGGAATGCAAGAGTGGTTTGGGAAGGAGGTATGGTGCTGGAGTCAGCCCGCCAGGAGCTCTGTCTCAACACACACACAATAGTCACGGAGATGCATAATGTCCCATCACCAAACAACATGCTTTCCTCCCTCCACCAGCCGCCAATGACATGGAACAGAGGTACAACTGCGCACACACATGTGTGCACATTCCCAAACATCGCTTTGCAGCACAAGGCAGAAGTCAACATGGGGTAGCCCCATGCTCTTTGTCACATCTAGTGCCACCCTCATTAAACTCATTCTGTATTATTGGCTCCTTGGAATCAGATGGGAACAAACCCAACATGGGCTCTTGAACAGACAAGAACCTCATTATCCTAATTGCTTGAGAAATTGCGGCAATTGACCTTAGATTATGTTTTCTTAAAAAGGAAAACGCCTCCTCAATTCAGCGAGAAAGTGCAACATCGAGGAAATTACAAAATATCCATCAGATTGTTTCTTTAGAATCAGGTCTTCAGCGACCTCAGACAGTGGTGTTCTGGCAGCAGCAGTGCATTCAACAGAACATGGATTATTAAGCTTTTTTTTTAAAAAAATGAACAAAACGTCACTTTCATTTTCAAAGAAGCTGTCTGCGTGGCATCAGGAGCTGTCATGTGACAAACTCAATCCCAGTGCCCTTGGGATGTGAGGAACCAGTTGCATAGCTCTTTGGAGCCTACCTGTTTGGAGAATTATTTTTGCTGCACTTGTTTCATATACAATTCCCATTCACATACTTTCCCCCCACCCAACCATGTAACTTTGGCTCATAAAACTCTGCAATCCACATACTCAAGAAGTACTAAAGCACATCATGATAGGGTCAATGAAGAAAATGCAGTGGTATAGCGTGGGTTGCCAACACATAGGACTGCACAGAAGGGTGTGGGAGGGAGGGAAACAGTTGGAGTTCACATGTGCATTGTGGCATCTGCATCACCCAGGAGATCACAGTCATAGAGATAAGAAAAGAAGAGTTGTTCCGTTGTCTGGAGAGGTAGCTTCCTGGTTCGCTGCCAGGTGTCAGGAAATCTGATGCCCCCCATGGCAGGCTGCCAGGGATACATAGAGAAGAAAAGCTCTTACCAAGTCTTTTATTCAATATTCACAGAGAGAGGCTTAGAAATGCTGCCTCTAGGAGTAATGGTGGAGCTCTGAGTAATCTCCACCCCCCTTCCCTTCTCAATCGTCAACACCACCACCCCTTTATGGTGGCTACTTAAGGCCATTTGCCTCTTAACTCTTTGCTCTTCTACTTTCACTACTCACCGGGTTCTGGGAGAAGGGGGGGTCTGGAATGCTTTCTAGTGATAATGAGTCAGCCAGCTGCTCCGGCTCTGTTTCTCCCCCCTCCTCTTCTCCCATGATTTCCGAGCTTTGCCCCTCTTCTGTCTCTGAGCTGTGACCTTCTGCAAACCACTGTTGTAAATCTATACCAGGCATAGGCAAACTCGGCCCTCCAGATGTTTTGGGACTACAATTCCCATCATCCCTGACCACTGGTCCTGTTAGCTAGGGATCATGGGAGTTGTAGTCCCAAAAAATCTGGAGGGCCGAGGTTGAGGAAGCCTGAACTAGAACGTGCGCAGAGGACGGCAACCAAGATCATCAAGGGTCTGGAAACTAAGTTCGCCTATGCCTGATCTATACAGTGGTACCTCGGTTTACATACGCTTCAGGTTACGTACGTTTTAGGTTCCAGACTCTGCTAACCCAGAAATAATGCTTCAGGTTAAGAACTTTGCTTCAGGGTGAGAACAGAAATCGTGCTCCGGCGGTGCAGCGGGCAGCAGGAGGCCCCATTAGCTAAAGTGGTGCTTCAGGTTAAGAACCGTTTCAGGTTAAGAACGGACCTCCGGAACGAATTAAGTACTTAACCCGAGGTACCACTGTACTGTCTTCCTGTTCTCTGGAAGTTTCAGGAGGGGGAGGCAGTCTCCACCCTTCCTCCTCAGTCCAGTCCCTGCCATTCACGTGAAAAAGCTGTTTTCAATGGAACCCAGAGACAGAAGCACACAACTGCCTGAGACAGCACTGGGTATTGAAATTTTGCACTGCCTAACAATTTTGCACCCGGGGCGCTGCTCATACCCAATATGCCTGCAAAAGAAAAGTAAACCAAACTGGAGATACCAGTTTGGGGGCCTTTTGCATGCACAGTAAGTCCTCTGTTCCATTGCTGCCCCTCCCTTTGTTTATCCTGCAATAGAAGGAAGTCGTCTCGGGTGATCTCTGGCAAACAGAAGTAGTGGGGAACTGCTGAACAGACATTCCACGTGCCCTCTGGTGTTTGAGATCACCATGGGGGCAAACTTGACATCTGGAAATGCCTATCCCTCAAGCTCAGGGTCTACTCGTTACTTGTAATTAGAATTGACTCATTACCATGCTCAGGCCACCTTTCTTAGCATGTCTTGCCGGGGACAAAACAATTACCGTACTCTGTCTGCCTCCCCCAATGTCCCCCAATGATCCAGCTGCCCAATAGGGTTATTTTTTTGCTGTGAGCACAGATGGAGGAAGAGGGATGTGCCCCCCCCCACATGGTTTCCTGGATGCTATATTCCTCTAGGCTTACTGTTAACATGATCACTATTTTATGTTTGAATCAAGAGAGGGCGAGAGCTTTCTTTCTTAAAGCAAAACAGAAAACAAAAACCCATGTGTTGGCAGGTTATCTCGCTTGCAGAACACGAGGCGACTTGTTTTCCAGGTATTGGGCGTAAGCAGCCTTCTCGACAGGAAATAAATTTATGATGAAGAACTCCCGGTAGAGAGCTTGGAAAACTTACACAGAGCTGTTCCGCATCCAAAATGCTGTTCAGTAGATTTTTCCAAAGCACCCAGGTAACAGCTGGTGCAGGCCATGTGCCAAGCCTGACAGCCCATATGCTCTCTTTAGTGCGGTAATTATCTCAACACAAAACTCTGATAACCCAGCCTACAGGGTCCAGTTTCACCAGGTTAAATTGACTCAGTGGCTTTGTTAGTCAGTTCCTTTGGCACAGCAAGAACTTCATCAAGAGTTTAAGCACCGTGGCAGCCTCGGAGAAAGCAAGAGAGCTGTTAGTTTCAGGACAGGTGTCTTATTAACCCAAAGAGATTGGAGGCTTCCCGTTCATTAGAAAGGCACTGGCAGCATGTCTATAGTTAAGTAGTTAAGGGTCTGCCATTGTTTCCATCGGGCATCCATATATATATATATATATATATATATATATATATATATATATATATATATATATATATATATATATATATATATAATCTCCTATGCCCTTTTAAAATGTGTTTTTTGGGGGGGCAGGGGGTCATTGGGTTGTTGTTTTTATTTTGATTATGCATTTTGTGGTTTTGTATTTTGATTTTTTTCTGTGAACCGCCCTACGACCTCTGGGTATAGGGTGGTATGTAAATAATAATAATAATAATAATAATAATAATAATAATAATAATATACAGAGAGAGAGAGAGAGAGAGAGTGCTTTTTTAAAAAACAAAACAAAAACATGTTTGGGGGTACTCTCATTTTCCTACTTGTATTGAAATACTGCCCCTCAATGAAGCCAAACTTAGTCACAGAATGTTTACGGGTATGCGTACCCCAGGAAAAAAGCACTGCACACAAACATACACATAAAAGGGGACAGAAGTCTTACTCGGTTAAATGCTTTGAGGACCAGGATGATTTTGTGCACATGGACAACCAGCTGGAAGGAATTAATTTCACCCAGAATGGAACACAGTGGTTTTAAAACAAAATGCTGAAAATACATTAACAGAGCTTTTTTAAAAGAAAAGAAAAGAAAAGCCACACTTTTTTTTGTGTGTGTGTCCATCAGTGGTGCACAGTAACATTTTTCATAGGGGAACAGTTCGGGCCAGAGGTGCCAACTTGCAAGGGTGATTGGGGAGGGGCTAGCATCGCGATGTCCTGCCGTTGCACTTGAGAGCATCGCAGCTCCCTCCCTAAGCCAGGCAGAAGCTTCCTGGGCTTTGGATAAGAGGCACCAGGGCTTTCACACAATGCTCCTGTTTCCTTCCCAAAGCTGGGCGGGCTTAGGAAAGGTGGTGGGAGGACTCTTGCACCCATCAGAGCATCACACCTCCCTCCCTAGGGCGGGCAGAAGATTCTGAGGTTTTGGCAAGGAGGTGCCAGGAGAACATTTAGGTGACTAGCCTAGTCCCCTTAGACCACTGACTGCTCACCTCTGTGGCCCATGTTGTTATTCATTGTCAAAATTACTAAACTGGGGGTCAAATGTGGCCTTCTGAGCCACAACCACTCTGTAGCCACCACTCCTCTGTAGGCCATGCCCCTCAACCGTCCATGGTTTGCACCTTCCTTGAGTTGGTTTTGCCCACATGGAACGTGCCGTTGAATGCTGCTGGCATCTCTCTCACATCTGGATGGAGGTCAGAGAGGCGTGCGTGAGTGTGCGTAGAAATGAGCCCACTGTGCGAAGGTGAAATGTACGTTTGTTGCTCCTCCCAGCTTTGCTCGTGCCCTGCCTACTAATGGCACATGGCCCTCAGAAGGCTGTGGCTCTCAGACTGCTCTAAACCACAGAACCATCAAATGGTAGGATTGGAAGGGCCCACGAGGGTCACCTTGTCCAACTCTCTGCAATGCAGGAATATTTTTGCCCAACGTGGGGCTCAAACCCACAACCCTGAGATTACGGGTTTCGTGCTCTACCGACGGAGCTATCTTGCAGCCAGGTATAGTCCATGTGAGGCATAGGCAACAAGCAAGGAGCAGAAGTCGATGGACAGGAAGCACATGATATTTTGTGGGGCTGCCATTGGCATAGAGTCAGGTCTATGCTATGATCTGCTTTTCCCATTCAGTACTGCTTACAGGCACCACAAGGGGGGGGGGGAGAGATTGGGGAGGGGACACGGAGTGGCCAAAGGGTGATGATAGGCTTTGTCTCACACATTAAGGTTTCCAAAACCGAAATCACAGTACAGTGGTACCTCGGGTTAAATACGCTTCAGGTTACATACACTTCAGGTTACAGACTCTGCTAACCCAGAAAGATTACCTCGGGTTAAGAACTTTGCTTCAGGATGAGAACAAAAATTGTGCGGCAACGGCGCAGCGGCAGTGGGAGGCCCCATTAGCTAAAGTGGTGCTTCAGGTTAAGAACAGTTTCAGGTTAAGAACGGACCTCCAGAACGAATTAAGTACGTAACCAGAGGTACCACTGTATATTTTAGTTTAATGCTGCCATCCTGAAGATATTTTCTCTGAAGTATCAAAAAGTATATTAAAACAATCTGTAATGGGGGGGTTGGACTCAATGACCTTCATGCCCCTTCCAGCTCTACAGTTCTATTATTCTATGAAGTTCTCTGTTGAGTTTTGATGGAGTCCTCTTTCAGGAAGCACACTTGAGATGGCATGCTTATGTCATTTCCCCAGTTTATGAGTCAATAATCATTTAAATGCGGGAAAGGCCTTTTCTTCAAGTAACTGCAGGAATGGGCGGGTGGAGTGGGGGGTTGGGTGATAGGTGAATGATCAGTGTGGGGGGGAGCACTTTCCTTCTGGGCTACCCCCCACCCCGATCACTACCGGAGTACCACTTTGAATTGGACTCTCCCACAAAAAAAAGGATGCTATTGCTGTAAGCACTCTGGATTTTTATGAGCAGGAATGTTGTCATTACCGTATTTTTCACTCTATAAGACGCACCAGACCATAAGACGCACCTAGTTTTTGGAGGAGGAAAACAAGACAAAAAATATTCTGACTCTCAGAAGCCAGAACAGCAAGAGGGATCGCTGCGCAGTGAAAGCAGCAATCCCTCTTGCTCTTCTGGCTTCTATGATAGCTGCGCAGCCTGCATTCACTCCATAACACGCACACACATCTCCCCTTACTTTTTAGGAGGGAAAAAGTGAGTCTTAACGAGCAAAAAATATGGTAATAACAATGTGAAACACATTCCAAAAAGCGCTCCCCCCATTCAGATTTGGGCATACCTACCAGAGCTCCCTCTTGATCTTTCAGCTCCTTGTCCTCACACCCCTGCTTGCTTTGGTGTCTTTCCTAAATCCCAGGGATGTAGGAGAGAGCTGTGCTTCTGAAAAGCATAGGCGAAGTTTTTCCAATGCGAAAACTAGATCGTTGGCCTCTCTACCATGGTATTGTCCTGTAGTATGACTGACAGACAGCTCTCCAGGGACTCAGGCAGAGTCTTTCAAAGGCGGCTGCCTGAGATCTGTATCTGGAGATGTCAGCAGCTGAACTTGGGACCTCTAGAATACAAAGCATATTCTTTGCACCACTGAAGGCTAGACCGTCCCCTCCCCCTCTCCTAAGTTGGGCTTCTGGAAGGGATTTGTGCTATATGCAAGGCATGTGAAGTCCTTTTCCGCGAGGGTCATTTTGTGCAATACATAAAATTGAGATGAAATGAACAAGTGCCCGTTTTCACATCATTTGTAGCCTTCAAAGTGCTTTAAAAGGTAAAGGGGCCCCTGACCATTAAGTCCACTTGTGGTCGACTCTGGGGTTGCGGTGCTCATCTCGCTTTATTGGCCAAGGGAGCCGGCGTACAGCTTCCGGGTCATATGGCCAGCATGACTAAGCTACTTCTGGCAAAACAGAGCAGCGCACGGAAACGCCGTTTACCTTCCTGCCGGAGCGGTACCTATTTATCTACTTGCACTTTGATGTGCTTTTGAACTGCTAGGTTGGCAGGAGCAGGGACCGAGCAACGGGAGCTCACCCTGTTGCGGGGATTCAAACCGCCGACCTTCTGATCGGCAAGTCCTAGGCTCTGTGGTTTAACCCACAGTGCCACCCGGTCCCTCAAAGTGCTTTACAGCATCTTTAAAAAATATGTCTGGCAGAGCAAACAATCTTGTACAGTAGATTGCTATTACTCCCATTTGACAGATGGGGAAACCAAAACAGAACCTAGAGTTTGGACGTGTCCGACAATCAAAACTGATCCTGCTCATTCAGTGTTTAGTTCTGGATGTATTAAATAAAAATGCATTGGCACTTAGATAGTGCCTGACACTCTGAGCTATGAGCAAAGAAGTTTAAGATTCAAATCTTCCATCTGCCATTGCGAACCTTAAGAGGCCTTAGGCAAGATACTCCGTGCCACTATCCCCATGCAAAAGGAAGGCTAATGAAACTAACAGACAGCGTTGAATTTAGCTCTTGCATTTATTTCCCACATTTTCTCCAAGGAGCTCAAGACATCTCCCCTACTTTATTTTCACATCAACCGATAGGCTAGTTTTCGAGGCCCAGGATTTTTATTTCACAAGGAATCACCCAAACACATGATTCACTGCCACCTGTTGTCACCTGTGGCACGGCCCTGGAAAAGAGGTATTGCTTCATCTTGCTGCATCCGGTCTTCAAATAAAAACATTTTGGAGATCCCGGGCCACAGGGAGGTTAGGCTGGCCTCAACCAGAGCCAGGGCTTTTTCAGCTGTGGCCCCAATCTGGTGGAACGCTCTGTCACAAGAGACTAGGGCCCTGCGGGACTTGACATCTTTCTGCAGGGCCTGCAAGACAGAGCTGTTCCACCAGGCCTTTGGCCAAGGCACAGTCTGACCCCCTCCTTTGGTAATCCTCACAGAACTCTAGCCCAATGGTTGCCCTTAATTTGATTTTGAATTGATTTTAGAATGAATTGATTTTAGAAATTGATTGTGATTTTAGGTAAACTGTGTTACTTTTATTGTTGTTAGCCGCTCTGAACCTGGCTTCGGCTGGGGAGGACGGGATATAAATAAATTATTATTATTATTATTACAGTGGTACCTCAGGTTAAGTACTTAATTCGTTCCGAAGGTCCGTTCTTAACCTGAAACTGTTCTTAACCTGAAGCACCACTTTAACTAATGGGGCTTCCTGCTGCCGCCGCGCTGCCGGAACACAATTTCTGTTCTCATCCTAAAGCAAAGTTCTTAACCTGAAGCACTATTTCTGGGTTAGCAGAGTCTGTAACCTGAAGCGTATGTAACCGGAAGCGTATGTAACCCGAGGTACCACTGTATTATTATTAGTAGTAGTAGTAGTAGTAGTAGTAGTAGTACACTTGCTATTTTGGTTTAAGTCATTTGACTTTAGTAAGCATTACCTCCAAGCTCTCCTCTCAGACAACTGGTGCTACCTAGGGCAAAAGCAACACACCAGGTGGAGTATTGGAATCCAACCACAAACAAAGGGTGATTAACAGTTTTGCTTGTACGCCATTTTCTTTGCAGCAGTCAGAGAAAATGTGAATGGTAAATGAGTATCCTTAACCATCTGTATATGTGCATTGGCGCAGTCAGGGCTCCTAGGCATGCTTGCATTGATGTTTAAGGATGGGTGTCTGTCAATAACGCTTTGTGTGCTTTCTACAGGAAGTATAACACTGCTGTACTCACTGCAAACATGATTACCACATGGAGTGACCATTCAGTAGTCTGATCAGGCAAGTCAGCGGTGTCAGCAGAGAATAGCTGATCCATTTGGACAGCTCCCCAATAGTGGGCCCTGTTCCAACTGGGATAGCTTCTAGGTCTGCATCTGAGCCAAACTAGGTTTGGAATTTATAATATTTTGCAAGAGGTTTTGCTTACAAACAGCACCGGCTTCCTCCCCCAAATTGCTATTACATGATTTGCTTTAATAAGGAATTATGAGATGCTTTCAGATTTCAGAGACATGACATCTCTCATTAGGACAGATTCATGAATGGTGTCTTCTTTCTAAGTCTGCAGGAGAATGTTTGCTTTGATTTGAGTGAGGATCATATGTAAAATAATTTTCCCTATAAATAATATGGCTCCCTAGACAGAAGACCCAATAGCTATTTTTGTGATGTTAAAGTTCAGTTTTTGCTGTTGAGCATATGTACACATGGAAACTCATCACTCAGTTGTCTTCCACAGGTAGTTTATGCTTTTAAAGTCATTCTTCATATGTTGCCATAAAGAGTCACCAAATTTTATGATTGGTGCATTATTCTTTGCAAATAAGTCCACCGAGACCATATAACACCAGTCCTGAAAGATCTTCATTGCCTCCCAGTACGTTTCCAAGCACAATTCAAAGTGTTGGTGCTGACCTTTAAAGCCCTAAACAGCCTCGGTCCTGTATACCTGAAGGAGCGTCTCCATCCCCATCGTTCAGCCCAGACACTGAGGTCCAGCGCCAAGGGCCTTCTGGCGGTTTCCTCGTTGTGAGGTTGCAGGGAACCAGGCAGAGGGCCTTCTCGGTAGTGGCGCCTGCCCTGTGGAATGCCCTCCCAGCAGATGTCAAGGCAATAAACAACTACTTTACTTTTAAAAGACAACTGAAGGTGGCCCTGTTTAGGGAAGTTTTTAATGTCTGATGCCGTATTGTTTTTAATATTCAGTTGGAAGCCGCCCAGAGTGGCTAGGGAAACCCAGCCAGATGGGTGGGGTATAATTTATTATTATTATTATTATTATTATTATTATTATTATTATTAGTTTGTTATTATTATTATACTAGCTCTCGTCATATTATAATTAAAACCAAGGGACCTTTAATCAATTATGAATTTTAAAATCGCATGTTGTATATAAATGCACCATTCGATGTGAAATTCATCAGTGTCAAACAACTCTTTGAAAGATGAAATATTTCTCTCTCACTATGATCAACCAATGCCCATTTTGCCCTGTATAATGGGTATGGGGTTGCTCGTGCGTAAGTTGCCGCCTCTCC